TCTCTGCCTCTGGACTGCTCTCTTTTATGAGCTTCTTGATTGAGTAGAGGTGTGGCTAATTCCACAGTGAGCCTGTCCACAGCACTCTTCCCTCATGTGGAATGCCTTCCTTTCATTCACAGCCCAGGTGTGTCTAATTCTGCAGCTTTTTCTAGTTGCTCAGTGGGCATCTTGGCCTGGATTTTGAGCCAAGATGGTGGTTTACTAAGTGGAGTACCTCTTTTATTGCAGCGTTTGCAAAGATAGAACTTTTAAAAGCTGAAAAGAAGAACATAACAACAACTATTATTATTATTATTGGCATTACAGTAGATGCTGTGCTCTGAAACTGGAATTAATATAATTAATGTTGAAACGTTTATGTTTCTGCTGTGATCATTACCTCCAAACTTTGTAAAAGCCCCTGATGAACCTTGATTTTCTGTTTTGTTTAATCTTGCTTCTTTACAGTAGTTCATTATTCTGTCTCTTGGCATCCAGTCCAATATTTATTTTCCCCATAGACCTGTTCTTCTTGCTCCATATCTGGAGCATTGCCATTTTAGTCTTTTTTCTTGCTTGTACAGTGATGTCACACACGTTTTTACTGGTGTTCTAACTCATGCAAGATTATTTCTGTCTCATTGTAGTCTAAACATATTAGTCCTATGCTTCTTTGGTTCATCTAGAATTCTTTTACAGATACAAATACCATTTTTGTTTTCATACTCTAATTTGCTCTTTCATATGTTAATACAGCCAACCCACATTAATTGAAATGTTACCTTTTGTGGCACAAAACCTCCTTTTCTTGTGGATAATGGCTAAATCTACTAACAAAATATTTGTACCTATTTTATGGAAAACTGGTTGCAAACAAGTCAGAATTAATGGGTGAAATATTTGTAAGGTTTTAAGAAATGTTGTGTTCTGAGTTTTTGGCAAATTAGGTTTCTTACGTATTAAAATGGGATAAACTAAAGTTTCTGGTAGTTTATAGTTTAAGAGATAATGTTCTAGGTAATGTATTTAAGAGAGACTTAAAATTACAAATTATTGTTAAATATACCTTCTTATCACAAATATTTGTCGCAATCTTCAAACCTTATGGTGAGACAAACACAAAAATTCCTCTATTCCCCTGCAGGTACAACTATGCCACTAAAACCTCATTTTAGTGTTCTAATTCTATCCGTGTGTACAGAAATAAGCAACACACTTTTTCCAAGAAAAAGTAGTAGTTCTTCAATGTACTGTAGAAGCAGTAAATGAAATTCAGAACCGTTTACAGGAACATTCCTGATGGGGCAAGCATCCAGCAGATTATGTTTTATGTAGTCTAGTGCAGGGATTTGCTTGCAGGCAATAGAAACATACGCTGTAAAACAAAATGGGGAAAACACTAAGCAAGAACAGGCTGCTTATGGAAAAGAGTTAGATGTTCATGCGTACACTTGCTTTTCTGTCCTAAATCTCAAATGAATCACATTTGAAAACACAATTCAATGCTTC